TTTTTGGATGACCCGTAACTGCGGGTAACCGCGGGTGACCACAGGCACCCGCTCATTTCGGATCAACCCGCGCATCACTGATATACACTGCGTAAGTAAGTTACTGAGCCCTCCTTCAGGAACAACCGCTTGCGAATCCACATTTGAATTCATGTATGTTTTTGAACGATTCGTCAATAAAATGATGAGAACACAATCGGGCTATACTGTTGTGGTATCGTTGCAAATGTAACAGACTTAGTTGAATTCTGTTATGCTGCACTAATTCTGGAGGTACTGGCGCTCATTGGATATGTGTATGCGCAACGTATTTTTCCCTTCGGGGCTTGCCGTAGATAGGCATGTGTCATGCGCACGGGATGTACTAGAGTGTCGCGGGTTTGTGAGAGTTGGTGATCTGAGATGTGAAGCAATAAAGTGGATAAGAGTGAAGAGTTCAAAGTTAAACTGCTACCGTTTATTGTTTTCTTATTTCCAAGTGTTAGGCGAACCCTGATTAAACGCTTGGTCACACAAATATCAACTCTAACCACCGATTCTTCACATGCTCGTCCCTGGTAAATGAAATAAAGTGGCTGAACTATCTTTGCATTGTAGAACACAGCGTCTACTCCACATGATGCTATGATGAAGTATTTGAATTAGGGATGTCTCGATACCACTTTTTCACTTCCGATACCGATGCTGCAGTTTTGGCTTTTGCCGATACCGATATTAATCCGATATTTTTAGTTTATTTTTAATTGCTATATTTTTAATATAGCAATTTTCTCAATTAGCCTCTTAAAATATACCTCCAGTGTGTGTATGTATATATATATTCAATACTTAAAGCTAGCTATAGCTACCAACAGGTTTAAAGTTAAAACAATTTAAACAGCAGCATTCTACATTGTAAATACCAGTACAGTTTTTTTTAAAGCAAGTAGAATTTCTATAATTGTGTGTTAAACTCATTATCACTCTGGTGTGTGTTAAACACAATCTACAGACAGCTTCATAATAAAGATAAACAATAAATCCCCAAAATATATGATCATGATCAATGACAAAAAATGCTATTATAAACTAGATTAGTGAATAATAAATATTGCTCTTTGTATTGTTGTAAAATACATTCATGAAAAACAATATAACAAAAATTAAAAAGAGAATTATTTTAGATATAGCCAAAGACTACTAAAAAATTGAGACATGTTTTAAGTGTATAGCACAGCTATTTAATGAGGCAGCAACATTAATAATTATTAATGTTAATAAGCTTTAATTGCGTCACTGCATTATGATAAGAATGACTCCAACACAGTGCGGCACAAAGCGCTTATGCGCATTCCTAGCGCAGAATGATGCGCTTGAAACCACGTGGAGTTACAGCAAAGCAGCCGAGTATGCACCCTATGGTATGCATGCTGCGCGTCGAGTCCGCTTTGAAAAGTTCAAAGCATAAAGGAAATACATATTGATGGACAGTGTATTAAAAAGTATCTATCTATGCAATAGTTTATTGAGCCTTTTCTTTTAACAGTTTTAAATTTCAGTTACTGTGCGCGTGAAGAACAATAGTGCTCTGACTCTAGTGTTGTGATCTAACCGACAGCGTCCGACACCTGGTAGAAAGTAACACGATTAAGTTACAGCAATAAAGTCCAGCAAGATAATGTTGTTTTATGCGAAAATATAGACCCTAATCTACAGATAAAGTGTCTTCTATCTTGAAGATAGTTTCATCATTTACTGTAACCGAACGCGACGCGCTGTTTGAGTGCTGAATGGAGAATGACTGACAGCCGCGAGAGAAAAACGTTTACGTGATCCTGAATTTAATGACTTATATATTAATTTCTCTCTGACATAATGGCTTCAGAACACTTATAATAGAGTGCACGAAAACGTCATGGTACTTTAGACTGTTTTTGTGCCTTCTGTGGGGCTTAACAATAACATAATAGTATACGCACTGTAGTGAAGTTTTTCTTCTTCCACGCAACAGACCAGGAGACTCTTGAGGTATCTTACACGCAGAAGTTCTTTATTGCGTAGCTGTAGTCATCTCAAAGATAGTCTAAGATAGTCTAACTAAGGGAAAATATTCCCTTACAATTTATACATTTAGAGGGGAGGAGTTTACATTGAGGGGGGAGAAACTGAAACAAAAGTAAATGTATATGATTCAACAGACACCTCAGTTCATCAGCATAGCAGTTTTCTGTGCCTTGAGATGCTAATCTGGAGGAGTTACATTGAGGAGGAGTCTCTTGAAACAAAGCAAATGTAAATGATTCAGCAGATTACCAGAGACGCTAATCTAATCAGTCTGACCAGCGTGGTCACAATTTTACCATTACAAAAGCAAAGCTGAATCTTGAACTTAATGGCCAGGAAGCGCATAAAGACAAAAGCTAATGTGTGACACCTGAAATGCTTGGCTTAATCTTATTGGCCTCAAAATGGTAAACACTGTATACATTTTACAGTTGAAAATACTGTTAAACCTTAATGAAACATTGAATAAATTTGTATTTCTTCAGCACAATATCGGATTTGGATCGGCCTCGTCTGATCGATACCCGATCCCGCAAAAATGGCTGGATCGGAGCCGATACCGATCCTGAGTATCGGATCGGGACATCCCTAATTTGAATGTGTAGACTTCAAGTTTGCACTTCCGTCTGCGCGCAGTAACTGGGCGCGGCCAATATGTCTCTGCATCACTACGAACCAGCTAATGACTCGTTTCAAAAACAATTTATTTCATAGACTCAGAGTCGACTCTCACTTTTGGAAGACAACAACTTTATATACGGTGCACTTTCAGATATAAATCTTTGCAGGATGTTTTCATTCCCTTAGAGCTATATTCCACACCATATGAACAGTCATTTACAAAACTCTATGATAGGGGCTCTTTAAGCTGTGTGTTTATAACTTGTTTTTGCGCCTTTAAACATGCTTCAGTCCATTCAAATTCCTCTATTTCTTCTTGTCTTGAATGTCTTTCCTCCATGTGTTTAATTTGTCTACAGCAGACTCTTTAGAGTTAGACATTATTACATTTTTCACCTCTTTTTCCAATTATTTCCTCTATTAATGACAGTTTGGGAAAGTACATTAGCCTTCTTGCTCTTAATTACAACATTTATAAATGTGGTAAGCTATTGCATTTTGCAGAAAACCTTAATTAAAGGATTAGTTCACTTTTGAAAAAACTTTTGCTGATAATTTACCCACTCCCATGTCATCCAAGATGTCCAC